CTCAGCGTTTTCCAGTAAGATGTAGTAAAATTTTTATACGTTTCATTGGTGAACGTATTCGAAAACGCGGTGCTTGAAATGCTCATTACTTTTCATATTCTTGTGAAATTAATGAATTTACTAGTACCTCTTCACATTTGTTCAGAGCATATTTGTAAAGGTCATTCTGAGTTAGGATTTAGACTTAAACTGTCTCTTTCATGCCAGCCATCGTTGCTATTCTCCTCAATATGCCTCCAAGTCTCAAATTAATGCACAGCTGCAGAAACAGAAGAAAAACAATACTCGCAATGATTTCATTACTTTCACAAGAATATGAAAGGCAAAGAGCACTTCCAGCATTGCGTTTTCAAGTACGTCCATCAGTGTAACTCACAGAACTCTTGCAAACCAGAATTTGAATGTATTCTTTAAACTGCTTATTGCAGTTTAGATTTATTTACATTCTCGTTTACCAAGAAGGATGTATGGGGTGTTACTGCTACCTGCACTGCAAGTGCTACACGTAATTGTCGCCTTGTATGTTGGATATTCACGCATTAGCGATCACAAGCATCATGCGACAGATGTTTTGGCTGGATTTCTGGTTGGAGTTTTTACTGCAATTGTATCGGTAAGTCTTAAAATATATAAGCATTAAAAAACAATAAATTTTTTTTCCAGTTTAAAAATACGCAGACTTATTGTTCGTTTAACATTTGATCAAACTTTCATTATTTGAGCACAAAAAAAGGCTTTTCACAGAGTTCTATAATTTTCTCGGTCACAAATTTTAGAGTGTTTACTGGGCACGTTTGCGAAAACGTCGGTGCCCCTTCGGCAACCATCGTTCTCAGCTTTTGATAAGTAGTGCAGAGCCTCCGATTAGCAGTAGAGTCACTGGCGGCAGTGGTGCCGATGACATACCCAATCGACAACTTTCGCAGCTATCATCGTTTACACGTGAAATAAATCCAGAAGCCACTTCTGTAGTTGATCAATCTGAATTGCACAGCGTCAGAATTGCTTGATCACTATCGCCTTTTCCTAGTCTAAAGACCAGGTTTTGTACAGTTGTGAAATATAAAATTTACTCTTATTTCATATTTTAAAATCTTAGTACTGATTGAGTTAATAGCTGTTGTAACTATTTCAATTTATCAACACGATCTTGAATCATTAATCAGAATTGTTTTTCACTGCTCACTTCGGCATCACTTAAATCTATACGTAAAATTTTGCCAGTACTTTTTGCCAGTACTCTGACTGTCATTTTCTGCGCGATGCATTTGTTTGATTTCGCCGAATTATGAAAGCATTTCTCTATTCTATATAACAGTAATTTAATTTCGAAGCCCCTTAGCTATATGATTAGTGCGGTTGTCATCTCAGAGAGTATAACCTGCCAAAACTGCTCCCAACCAAAAGAAAATAATCTTTGGTCAGTGAAGTTTTCTATGGGGAATAAAAAAAGTTGAGAGATTCAGAAAGGTGGAGCCAGATGAGAAGAACAATAATTTCTGTGATTGCGTGGATATATCTTTGCTGTTTTGCTCGTCCTGTGAATTTGCCGTAAATCTAGTTATCAAAAATTTTTATAAGTTTTGACAACAGCAAGTTACCTGTCTTCTTTACTTCCTCTAATTCACTTTCTTACCGCTTTAATTGTCTAATTCATTCAAAATACGTCTTATCTGCTACAACTTTACATTCCGCACCAATTGTGCAAATTATGTGAACTTGAGTCGTCAAAATTTACTTCCGCGTGCATAATAATTTTCTGAGTTACGCTGTCAGCAACAGCGAGTAACACAGATAAATTCAAAAAATCTAATATAGTATAAATGTCGAACTACTGTTATTTAAGGCACTCTCCTTGAAAAGTTCGTTTTCAGCTTATATTTTCAGTCATTTCTCATGTGGGAAGTATTTGATTCCACTCTGTCAGCTTGCCAAGATTCTGAAAAAAAAATTTCGGTTCCTTCTTGATTTCTATTGCAAAGGTTCCGATCTACAGAAATAAAACTGTCCGCTGTTCTACAACAACACCAAAAACAACCTTTGGTAAAAATGAATTGCAAAGGTATATATCAGAAATATAACTATAAAAAGCATCGTTGCAAATTTTCAGAAGATAAGCAGAAACGTATTGCATACGCAAAAAAAAAAAACTTGTTTACAAAAGCAATTACCTTAAACTTACCAAGTACTTTCCACAAAAAGCTCCAAGAAAATTTATTAAAATATCCGTGACTGGCTTCACACCAATGACCTCAAATCCGATCAACGGCTATGGTGCAGCTCAGCAATTTCACTTCACACTTTAAGCTATGGCAATTTCTGCAACTATTCTTGAGGCCCTTTTTGTATAAGGGGCGGACTGGCGAGACTTTCAGACTGAAAGTACCTAAGCAAAGACACCCAAAAGAAAACAAGTTTCCTCTGCGTGGGGAAACTAATAAGAGGAAAGGGTGAGGGAGAACCCTGAAAACCTGCACCCTGGGTAAGACGTTCTAAACAGAGCTCCTTCCATGTAGCTCTGCGCCAGAAAATTTTTATTTAAACGCATGCTGCGAATAAAACTCAGACAGCAGCACAAAATTTCAGAGCTTTTTTTGTATCTACAGGATAATATTGCCTTGAATTCTTCAAACATGATATCCTACGCAAATCTGACTGCAGAATTTTACAAGTTTCCCCTGCTACCAGCTGGAAACTAGTTCGGAAAAAATTTCAGCATGTGAAGATTAAAGTGTATTTAAAAACTGCCTTTTTAACAGCCTTTTCACCCTGCTAAGGAACCTGAGGGCTCGCAGTTTCAAAAACACTTTAGCCCCCTTTTTCCTAATCAGTTAAAGCTCAGTCATAGCAGTATAGTTTGAGACCACTTCACGCAGAGCTAAATCTTACCCAAGCCGTTAGTGTTCAAACTAACAATCATCTTCTACTTGAACAGTATATGTATGCATGTGTGCTTTCGAGATCAGCAACGGTCTAGTCGACCGCTTCTTTCCTTGTTTCAATAAGGTTTTTGTCTAAAACGTGTACTACTCTTACTTTTCATTCCTTTTTGTCAGTATTTGTTTGTAGTACGTAACTTTGCTATATTACTAATCTAAAGTAAAAGCTTAGTTATCGCGGTTCGAAGTTACTCACCAAGTTGAACGGTCGAACTGTTACTACTGACTTCCAGACTACTGATTAACGACCAGTTCTACCTTCACTTCATTTAACCAAGCGCTATCGGCTAGGCAAATTGTTTTTTATCTTCTTCCTAATTCTCTCATAGTCTGCGCTAAAAATTTTTTTGAAAAATAATTTGGGAAAAGCGATGGAAATTTGAAATAAGGGTAAACCTGACAGCAGTACCTTCGTACGTGCATTATAACTCATTTTCACACCATGTAGTTGAACTGGACGAGCCCTTATCAAACCACCAGCTTTTTACAGTCTTTGATTCAGATGGTTCCAAATATTTTTCAGACAAATTTGTTACAACGTTCTCAGCAAGATTTGTAGAAATCACGATTGAAAAAACAAGAAATGTTTTGGAAAAACACTCACTGATTGACTAGAAGAGATAAGTGGGCTTTTCTTAAAATCTAGCAAAAATTTTTTGCTTTTGACTTTTAATTTGGAGAGTGCTTTACGTGCGGGTTCTAAAACGCAACAAGTGATTACGAGCTATACAATACCAAGTCTTTAGCCCTTCCAGGCATTATAAAGTCAGAAGCTTCAAAAAAAGCCACAGTGGCATTTCAGATATTAAACAGACGCTGTCCGCCAACACAAAGATGAAATTGCATACCAACAGCAGGAACAAGCGAAGCCTGTCCTAAGGTTTCATAAGTCGGTTAAATTCATCGCTTCTGATTCTGATATTCCAAGTTATTAACGATCAGTGAACGCAAATCAATTCTTTTCACAAACTAATGAAAATCCTTGTTTTTCATTTCAAAACCAATAGGAGCATTCCACAAAGGTCCCAAAACCTTCTGCGTTACACTGATGAGTGCACTACTTGACAGTTTCGAAACACGAGGAGAAATGAATTCATGGGGTAACGAAACCTGCGGAAGCTAGTAGGTGTTTCGTCAAGTGGACGAGTTTCAAGCAAAAATGCAGACAGAAGTGCGACCGACTGTATGGGTCTGCATTCTGAATTTCCTCTCTTCAGGCAGCTTTCCAGCATTTGGTTACTTGCCAACTAATTGGAAGAATTATAAGTGAGGTCGGTTTTGCATAAATCGGAAGGAGAGGGAGAAATTTGATCGCTTAAGCGAAGGTTTTTTGCAGGACTCATTCAAACGCGTCCTATTACTGTTGTTGACACTTATTAGCAGGAGATAGGATGGGAAGTACAACCGCAGGATAAGAATCCTTCGATTTGCCTGTTGCTCGGTGTAAAGGCAGATCGGTTTGAAACTTCCACTGCACACTTTCTTCACAGCTTTTGTTGATTTATAAGCCCTGTCGATAATGCTGGGTGTTTATTTAAAGTAAGATTAGGAGGGTTTGAAGATAGGAAACAAAAAGCAATGTTAAAACAGCGCACTTTCAGGAAAGTTGAAACACTCGAGTTGAGCTTCCATAAACCTGGCGTATAGTTGAAGAGCAGGTTCGATTAATATTTTTGTCTAAGTAGCTATTTGATTCTTTACACTGTCGTGTTAGTACGTCTCATTTTGATGGAACTTGTCTGCAGCCCTTCTCCTTTATGATTAATCTTACTTCTTTTTTGTCTTAAAATTTTTGTTTTTATCTATCTTTTCAATATATTAAGCATTAAAGTTGTTTGATTTTTTGGAGGCTTCAAAACTTCTATATGTTTATTTTAGATAAAGGTCACATTAACTGCTGTTGTTTAATG